CACTCTCGTCTCCTTGTCTCTGGTCTCCCCAGGTCTCTGCCTCCCCTGCCGCCCTCGCCTGCCCCGCCCTGTCTTCCTTGCGTCGAGGGACGGCAGCGCGCCGCTCCTCACTCCTCCTCGTTTCCCCCGACGACTGCTCCCCTACAGACCCTCCACATGGACGTGTGGGGCCCAGCCCGCGTCAGTGGACAGGGCCGCGAGCGCTACTTTCTGCTAGTAGTTGACGACTACACGCGATACACCACAGTCTTCCCGTTGCGCAGCAAGGGTGAAGTCTCTGCTATCTTGATCCCTTGGATCCGCACAGTCCGTCTCCAGCTGCGAGAGCGGTTCCGCCAGGACCTTCCTGTCCTGCGTCTGCACTCTGACAGAGGTGGTGAGCTCTCCTCCGACCTCTTGCGGGACTTTTTTCGTGGGGAGGGCATCACCCAGTCGTTCACGCTTCCAGAGTCCCCTCAGCAAAATGGGATTACTGAGCGCCGCATTGGCTTAGTCATGGAGGTCGCTCGTACCTCCATGATTCATGCGGCCGCTCCCCATTTTCTGTGGCCGTTTGCGGTCCGGTATGCTGCGCATCAGCTCAACCTTTGGCCCCGTGTCTCCTTGCCGGAGACCTCGCCCACATTGCGTTGGACAGTGAAGGTTGGCGAAGCGTCCGTGTTCCGGGTCTGGGGTTCTCGTGCCTTTGTTTGCGATACGTCCGCGGACAAGCTCTCCGCCCGCGCTATTCCCTGCGTCTTCCTTGGCTTTGTCCCTGATGCGCCTGGCTGGCAGTTTTACCACCCCACCTTGCGCCGTCTCCTCCCTTCTCAGGACGTCACGTTTGACGAGTCGGTTCCCTTCTACCGTCTCTTCCGCTACCGCTCTGCCCCTTCCCCGCCCCCGCCGCTCTTCCTTGCTCCCGATCCGCCTCCGGTAGACCCCCTCCCGCCCCAGGGTCCTGCTCCCTTGGGAGTGTCTCAGGTAGACCCTCTCCCTGGTACTGCGCCTGTTCAGGTAGCTGTCGTCTCAGGTGCTGCTCCAGGTGCTGCGTCTGGGGGTGCTGCGTCTGGGGGTGCGGAGCCGGGGGGTGCGGGATCTGAGGGTCCTGGGTCTGGGGGTGCTGAGCCTGAGGGTGTTGAGCCTGGGGGTGCTGAGTCGGAGGTTGCGGAGCCTGAGGGTGCTGAGTCAGAGGGTGCGGAGTCTGGGGGTGCTGAGCCTTGGGGTGCTGCTTCGTCTGGAGGTCCTGCTGGTGCTTCACCGCGACTGTCCTCGCAGCAACTTCGTGAGTGGCTTGTTCAACGAGCACACCGACGGAGTGGGGCTCCCGGAGCTGGCGAGCCTGGAGACGCTGGAGCTGGAGGTGCTGCTGTTACTACTGGAGCTGGTGTAGCTGGAGTTGGAGGCCCTGGCGCAGGAGGCGCTGGAGGTGCAGGAGCTGGAGCTGTTGACCCTGGTGCTGGAGGCACTGTGCGGCCGCGCCCGTACTTCGTTCCCCTGCTTCAGCAGGTTCTTGGTGTCCCGTCTTCTCCTGGTCTTCCTCCTCCCTTCCTGTGTCCACCGCCTGACCAGTCGCAGCCGCCGTTTCAGCCAGCCTCCCCAGTGCCTGTTCCCTCTCCTTACACTGAGCAGTCCGGAGGTCTTACAGAGCGTCGTGAGCCTGCGTCTCGTCCTGTCTCGCCTGTTCGCACTGCTCGTCGTGCTCCTCGTCCTCGTCCTCCTCCTGTCCCAGGCACACACACCATGGCACTCCGTCCTTCCTCTGTTCCACTGCGTGTTCCTCTACCTGCTCCTCCTGAGTCCTCTCTTCCTGCGGTCCCTGACCCTGAGTCTGACCGAGCGCTTGCTGCCAGTCCCACTGTCGCTCGTCTCCTTGCCACTGCTGTCACTGACCCGTGCTTTGAGTCTGCTGCTGCTTCTGCTCTCGTTGCTGAGCTGCTTGACTTTGCTGCTGCCTGCCGTCTCGACTACGCCTCTGCTCTAGTTGCTGAGTCTGTGCCTGCAAGTCCTCCGTCCATCGGGGGTGAGTGTGCTCTTGGCACGGACGTCCTTGAGGACAGGCAGGAGGACTTTGAGTGTCTTGCAGCTGCTGTACCTCGTTTTGCCTCCTTGCTGCTTGCCCCTGAGGGAGACCCGGATGCTCCTGATATCCTGACCCCGCGCTCTTACGTAGAGGCGATTACGGGTCCTTACTCCTCTCAGTGGCAGGCAGCAATGGATGCTGAGATGGCATCCTGGAAGTCCACAGGCACTTACGTCGACGAGGTTCCCCCACCTGGGGTGAACATAGTCGATGGCATGTGGATCTTCAGGGTGAAGCGGCCGCCGGGTTCTCCGCCTGCCTTCAAGGCGCGCTACGTTGCTCGAGGCTTCAGTCAGTGACAGGGAGTTGACTACTTCCAGACCTTCTCCCCCACCCCGAAGATGACTACTCTTCGGGTGTTGCTGAACGTAGCTGCTCAGCGTGACTACGAGTTACACTCCCTGGACTTCAGTACTGCTTTCCTGCAGGGCAGCCTGCACGAGGAGATCTGGCTGCGCCGACCACCTGATTTCACTGGGTCTTTTCGTACAGGTACCCAGTGGAGCCTCCGCCGGCCAGTCTACGGTCTCCGCCAGGCGCCTCGCGAGTGGCACGACACACTCAGGACTACACTTGCGGCTCTTGGGTTTGTTCCTTCTACAGCAGACCCGTCGCTGTTTCTACGCACCGACACCTCGCTGCCGCCCTTCTACGTCCTAGTGTACGTCGACGACCTCGTCTTTGCCACGGCTGACACTGAGGCACTGACCCTAGTGAAGTCCGAGCTGCAGAAGAGACATACCTGCACTAACCTGGGTGAACTGCGCAGCTACCTTGGCCTGCAGATCACCCGGGACAGAGCACGGTGCACCATCACACTGACTCAGTCACACATGGTGCACCAGGTCCTTCAGCGCTTCGGCTTCCATTTCTCCTCGCCACAGCTCACTCCTCTGTCTACCAGCCACTCGCTCTCAGCTCCGCCTTCGGACGAGTTTGTAGAGCCGAGTGGTCCGTACCCAGAGCTTGTGGGTTGCCTCATGTACCTGATGACTTGCACTCGACCTGACCTCGCATACCCTCTCAGCCTTCTGGCTCGCTACGTGGCTCCCGGTAGGCACCGAAAGGTGCACTGGGATGCTGCAAAGAGGGTACTGCGTTACCTGTGCAGTACGTCGGGCATGGGGCTTGTGCTTGGAGGACGGGGTGCAGTTGTCCTCACTGGTCACGCCCTCGCTTCTTGGGTTGACGACTCAGCTACGCAGCGGTCGGCACAGGGTTACACCTTCAGCCTTGGGTCCGGCTCGGTTTCTTGGCGGTCTACCCGCTCGTCTTCAGTTCTCAGCTCCAGCTGTGAGGCTGAGATCTACGCCGGAGCCATGGCTGCTCAGGAGCTACGCTGGCTCACCTACTTGCTGACCGACTTGGGAGAGCAGCCTCGTTCGCCTCCAGTCCTGTACGTAGACAACAAGGCCATGATAGCCTTGTGTCAGGAGCACAGACTGGAGCACAGAACGAAGCACATCGCTCTGCGATACTTCCTTGCTCGAGAGTTGCAGCAGCGTGGTCAGCTTCGTCTAGCGTACGTGGCCACTCGGGCCAACACTGCTGATGTCTTCACCAAGGCACTTCCGCCTGGTGACCATCAGCGCTTTGTTACTATGTTAGGCCTTGTGCCTACTTTGCCTCACTTACTTACTGCCTGACTCTGCCTGTACTGTGATCTATCTATATACCTGCATGCTTGCACTTGTTAGGGTATGATCACTGTATTGTTTGTTCCCTTTATATAACTCTGCATGTGAACTGGCCTTGTGGCCCTTTGCTTATGCTCGGACTGTGTGGTGACTTCGTGATCCACCCTGAGCTTGCTTTTCTTTTCTTGACTGGTCTTGTGACCATTACTTGTTCTGGCTATCCCCCGCTTCGCCTATGGGGGTGTGTCAAACATATATGCTTAGTTATATCTAGGCTTAGTTCATGTGTTTACATTTGTCTAGGCTATAGTGGGTTTAGCCTTAGGGGGTACAGAATTCTCTCGACATTCTACTTGTACCCTCCCTTGCTTCCTAGTCATTCATTCTCGCCTAAGATTCTAACAGCGCGACCAGCAGGGCGGCGCGACGGGCAGGGCAGGGCAGCTACGGGCAGGGTAACGCGCTACGGGCAGCGAACTATACGGTGGGCCCTAAAAAAAAAACGGTCCTGGAACAGAACCTGCTCTGAAACCATGTCAAAGTACTGAACGGGAATGAATGAACTAGGAACAAAGTGGGTACAAGTACTAACCCTAATTGGGTTGTACCTTTTATGGGCTACCCTACCCCACTACAGCCTACACAACCTAAACATTATAACAGTTTGAAAGCGGAATCCGCAGTAAAATAAATGTCGGTATCAGTGTAGTTGGCTTGGCATCGTACCCTGATACTGTCAGGGTAATCAATTCGTTATCACTGTACTTCACAGCTTATCCTGATTTCACTAGGGTAAAAAAATCAATAGTCTGATTTGGCAAGGGTAACTGGGAAAAAGCGGCCTACCATCGTGGAAAAAAATGTATTTTACCCTGATAATTTGGGCCCTGATGGCTAGCTAGGATTGCTACTTAACTCCTTGTATTTGTATATTTATCATCTTGATCACTTTCTATTATTATAACAAGATCCTTTAAAAGACTTCATAGCCTTCCCAAACTTAGCTGGTCTTATCCTAATCCTTCGTTTCCCGTATTATATAAACAAAATACATGCAGCCCAGCAAAACCTTCCACAGAACTCCTAAAAAGACTGCTCTCTGTGAGAGTCGTGCAATGCAAGGCAAGAAACTCTATGCATTAAATGCTGAGGAATTTAGCGAGCCCAAGTGAACACTGGTGTGGAAGACATGCCATATCCAGCATCTGAAATCGAAGCGAGTCTACACGAGAATAGAGCAAGTGCGAGGGGGGGATGGCTGAACATGTAACTTGGCCATAGGGTGTGGGAGCGAGGGTGCTTTACCAGGAGGGCCAGGAGGGCCCGAGTCTATGAGGTGGAGAACCTGTGGTGAGCAGAGGGGGGGTGATGGGATGGGATGGCATGGTAGCATGGCTGGCTGCGTGAGAAAGGCAGAGCCATGGATAATATGCACTGTGTGGGGGAAGAGATGCAGTGGCAAGTCGGGGGGAGAGGCAAGACGGGGAGGAGAGGCAGGACGGGAGGATAGGCAGGATGGAGGAGAGGCAGGATGGAGGAGAGGCAGGATGGAGGAGAGGCGGACGGACGAGAGGCAGGACGGTAGGAGAGGCAGGAAAGGAGGAGAGGCAGGACGAAGGAGAGGCAGGAAAACCGAAGCACTGCAGCAGGCAAATTGGGTGCTCAGTCGGATTGCTCCAAGCAAGTGTGGCGACCCTACAGGGAGAGAGCGAGAGAGAGAGAGAGAGAGAGAGAGAGAGAGAGAGAGAGAGAGAGAGAGAGAGAGAGAGAGAAAGCCGTACCTGCAGCATGGAGGGTCGTTGCGAGGGGTCCTTGTGAGTGCAGAGCAGGGCGGTGCGGGCGAGCAGGGCGAACTGGTGCGGGTGGTACCTGGCCTGCAGGGCTGGATCCGCCACCTCATGCAGCCTGCCCGCTTCTATCAGCGGCCGTGCCTGCAGGGAGGGGGGAGGAGGTGGGGTATTAGGATGAAGGGATGCAGCAATGGAGGAGAATTGTGAGGGAGGCAGCAATGGAGGAGAATTGTGAGGGAGGCAGCAATGGAGGAGAATTGTGAGGGAGGCAGCAATGGAGGGAGGCAGTGCCATGCACTCCCAAATCACGTTCTGGAATGTCTTCCCACACGCAGACCGTCCAGTACGATGCCTTCTCACACCACCCCACCCTATCCCATCCCATCCCATCCCATCCCATCCCATCCCATCCCATCCCATCCCATCCCAACCCACCCACACTCACCCATTGCACGAGGCACTGCATCCCACGGGGCCGGGAGTCATCCACAGGCGGCTGGCCGGAGAGCAACTCCAGCAGCACCACTCCGAACGCAAACACGTCTGTGCTCGAGCTCACTGCCCCGTGAGAGAGGTACTCTGGAGCCAGGTAGCTGGACGGTCACACAGGAGGGTAGGGATGGACAAAAGGGACAGGGTGGATGAGTTTTGAGACGTCTCAAAACTCAAAACTTTTGAGACGTCTCAAAACTAGGGGGTTGATGCAAACACGTCCGTTCTTGAGCTCACTGCACTGTGCGATAGGTACTCTGGTGCCATGTAGCTGGGGGGAAGGGGGAGGGGGCTGGCGCACACAAATGGGCAGGTTGGGGAGGGGGCTGGTACAAGCACGTCCGTGCTCGTGGTCCCATGAAAACTCGGAAGCAGATGATTAGAGGTGGCTAGTAAAGCACAGCAGAGCCAGTACAAAGAGAGTCCCATGCCGGGCCCCACATAATCATCCGTCTTTGAAAACACGCCCCTTGCCTCCACGCATCCAATCACTTCACTCACCCGAAGCTGCCTGCGAGTGGCGCTTGCATGGGCGCATCGTTGGGAGCGGCGAAGAGAGCCAACCCAAACTCCGATAGCTGGCAGGGCACGAGGGGCAAGAGGGGCGAGGTGTGAGGGGTGAGAGGTGAGGGGTGGGGGATGAAGAAGAGGGAGAAGGGATGGGGAGAGGCTGGTGAGGGCGAGGAGGAGTGAGGTGCGGTTGGGAGAGGAGTGAGGTGCGCTTGGGAGAGGAGTGGCGCAAAAGGGAGCCAACGTGGACTTTGAGAGCTGGAGGGGTGGAGTGTGATCGCCAAGACTGGTACGAGGGGGGGCGGTTGAAAGGGAGGGTGGGGAAGGACAGGTGGAAGAAACGCGGGAGGAAAGGTGGCGTGCTGCTGATTGTGACGGAAACGAGGGAAGCCACTCACCTTCACCTCGCCGCCCCTCGTTAGCATCAAACTCGCCGTCCGCACGTTCCGATGCACCACTGGCTGGGGCGCCCCCTCGTGCAGGTAGTGCAGCGCCAGTGCCAGCTGGCGCGCTATCATTGGCCGCACAGACCAGGGGAGAGGCCCTGAGAGCGTTCGGGGGAGGGGGTTGATTGGAGGCAGAAGGAGTGAGAGGGGAAGAGGGAATGGAGGGGGGAGGGAGAGGGTGGAGGCAGGACTCAAGACAAGAAGACTGGTGTTACCAGCACACAGAGAGGTAGCAGGGCGGATGGGGGATGGGGACTTAGGACGGTGGATAGGCAACGGGAGGACAGGGGAACGTGAGTGAGATAGAGCAGTGGACAGGGGGGATGGGAAACGGGGGATGGGAAATGGGGGGTGGGAAATGGGGGGTGGTATATGGCGGATGGGAGGTGGGGGATGGGAGATGGGAGATGGAGGATGGGAAATAGGGGATGGGAGATGGGGGGATCGGAATGGAGGGGGCATAGCAGCACGAAGAGCAGAGCCGATACATGGGGAGCATCAGTTCAACAGTGCATGCCAGAGCTAGCAGCAGCAGCTGAAGCCCCGGAGCCCCCCATGAGAGCAGCGTGGAGAGCGCCCAACTCCATGTGCTCAAACAGCAACAGGGAGTACCAGGGCTGACAGCAGCAGCAGCAGCAGCAGCAGCAGCAGCAGCAGCAGCAGCAGCAGCAGCAGCAGCAGCAGCAGCAGCAGCAGCAGCAGCAGAAGTGCATACGTACCCTGGTTAGCAGACACAGAGCTTCCAGCATCCCCCCTGAGAGCAGACTCAAGGGTGCCCCCTTCCATGTGCTCGAACACTAGCGCCACCTCGTCCCTCCTCTCCGCACACACCCCCACCAGCTGTGCCATGTGGCGGTGACTCAGCGTTGCTAGCACTGCCAGCTCAGCCGCCACTTCGCTGCTCAGCCCACGTTCGGCAGCCAATGGCACGCTGCCACGTGGGCTGCCGCCCTGCCTGGCACCATAAGCAGCAATAACCCCACCAGCACCACCACAACCACCATCAGCACAATCAGCAGCACCACGAGCGGCAGCAGCGGAGGGGCAGGAGAGCATCTCGCGCCTCACGGCTATCTGCTGCCCGCCGGCCAGCCGCCCTTGATACACCCGGCTGTAGCCCCCGCACGTTCCCAGAAGGTTCCCTGTGCACATGGCGGATGGGAAGAAGAAGGGCGGATGGATAGTGGGAAATCTGCGTGGGTGCTACTGTGAGAGTGACCTTGAGCGTGGTGCATACCCTCCTTGTACACGCCTGAACTAGAATCAAATCAAGCACACCTCATGCACACACACATGTACCCACACACACACATGCAACATCACCATCACCACATGCGGCGAACCCATCACTCCGTGCCTCTTCACTCACGAGTGGCGAACCCATCTGTCGCCTGCTCCACCTCGCACCATTGCAGCTTCCTCCACGGCCCCTCCCACACCCCCGCTGCCCCCATCCCTCCTATGTCCGCCGCCCCATGCCCTGCCTCCCCTCGCCCACTGCCCACTGCTTGCACCGCCGCTGCCCCCGCAGCTGCGAGCCTGGCGCCCTGAGTGAAGGAGAAGCTCCGTCTCATGCCAGGGGACGGCGACGCCATGCCTGCACGCGCAGCAACACCACCGCCGCCACCACTGCTACTCCTGCCCAGCCCCGCACCAACCAATGCTTCCCCTCCCTGCGCCCCTTCTTCCGCTCCCAATGCTCCTCTCTGCGGCATTGCAGGCATGGCAGGGACGCCCCTCCTGGCGTCTCTCTGCGCCTCCTCGCCCCCATCGGAGAAGTAGCGCCGTGCCGGCACCAGCGAGCTGCAGCTGCGGCTGAGAGGCAGCGACTGCTGCCGCACACACGGCAGCAGGTCGGTTCCTGCCTCTGTGCTGCTGTCTGCCTCCCTCCCTCCCTCTCCTTCCCTGCTGCCTTCTGCCTCCCTCCCTCTCTCGCCCTCCCCGCTGCTCTTCTCCTGTCCTCTCCCCTCACTCCTCGCCTCGCTACTCCTCCTCTCACTCACTCCCTCTCCCGAATCTCCCTCCCTTCCATCATCCCTCTCAGTCCCCGCCTCATCCTCCCCTAACACACTCACCTCTTCAGCGCTCTCCCTATCATCCTCCCTCTCCCTGCCCTTCTCCCCCACTCCTGCTGCTCGCACCACAAACCCCCACTCCCTGTCCCTCGCACTCTCACCACCATCCCTCTCGCTCACACCACCCTCAGCTATCAAACACACACGCACGTCCCTCTCACTCCCACTCCCACTCTCTTCTCTCCTCACTCTCCCCAAATCCCTCTCACTGTCACTCTCAGACTCTATTCTCCTCACCCTTTGTGGGTCCCTTGTCTTATTCAGCACCGAGAGTCGCCGCCCCGACCCGCCACTCCACCCGCCTACCGTGCCACCCATTGCGCCACCCACGCCCGCCCGCTGCCGTGGCCTGTGCACGGGGAACCGGCCAACCAGAACAGGACACCTGGCGTCCTCCTTACCCTCCCCTGCCTCCTCCCTCTCGTGCTTCACCCCTTCTCCCACCAACCCATGCCCTTTCCCAACCTGACTCTTCTTTCCATGCCCTTGATTCTCCTGCCCTGTAACCCCTTCCCCATTCGCCTCCTCCCCTCCTCGCCCTGCTGCCCGCATCTGGTTACCACACACAGGCTCCAATGCCGATCTGCGCCCGCCCAGCCCCTCCCTCCCTCGGGACCCTTCCGCGGATGATTCTCTCACTCCTGACGTTCCCAACACTCCAGGTCTTGCTTCAGGTGTTTTTTCAGGTGCGGGTAGCTTGACGCCAGGTGCTCTGGGAATCAGCGCTGAATCTGAGAGATAGCCATTGCCCCTGCTCTTCCTCATGCTGCTGCTGCTGTTGTTGTTGGCTTTGTTGCTAGGGTGGCATTGCTGTGACACGTGACAAGCTGGGGTTGAGAGGGAACCGCTGCTGGGGATGTCCGTCCAATGGGAGGACGCCCCTGAACGAGACGAGAACGCGGAGGATGACGTGGCAGCTGACGTGGCAGATATGTCAGAGCAGAACGACTCGAGAACAGGCTGGGCGGCATCTGACGCGTCCATAGAGGGGAAGCTACAGTGGTGCACTGTACCCTGTTTGGCATCATCCAACCCATCCGCGTTAATGGCATCCCCACGCTCAGAAGAATCGTCAGAGGACGAGGAAGAGGAGGATGCAGTTTCCACGTCACAACGGTTGGCCCAGTCAATGCAGTCAACGCTTTCAGCACATGCACCGTTAGCACTTGCACCACGGTCAGCACAGCCAGCGCGGTCAGCAATGGTAGCATCACGAGTACCAGTAGCGATATCCGCTCTTACCATCGCTTCTTCCTGTTGCCCTTGACCCACATAGAAGCTCACCTTCCCTTCGCCTCCTCGCACCCCTCCCCTACCCTGCTCCATCTGCTGCTGCTGCTGCTGCTGCTGCTGCTGCTGCTGCAGCCTCACCAGTCGCGCGTTCAGTTCGTTCTGAGCACTCTGCTGCCCCTCGCCCCCTTGCGCCACCTCTCGCCCCCTGCGCACCTGCTCGCGCGCCTTGCGCTCCTCCTCCTCCTCCGCCGCCTCCGCTTCGTGCTCCCACCCCAGCTGCTGCGCCAGGGTCGCCGCCACGGCGCTCACACCCGCAAACGACGCTGACCGCTGCACGCGCATGTGCCTGGGCGTGACTGCGGCCGACTGTGACTCAAACGAACGTGACCCGTCTCTCAAATGCTGCTGCTGCAGCGGCTGTGGTTGCCCCTGCTGCACCTGCTGCTGCCGCATCTGCTGCTGAGGCTGTTGTTTGCCTGTGATGGACGACCGCAGCAGCTGCCATTTCGGCATGTGCTCCGCGCTTCTGCTCCCCCCCTGCTCCTGCTGCTGCCTCTGCTGTTGCCGCTGTTGCCCCCCACCTTGCTGCTGCCCCTGCTGTCGCTGCCCCAACCTGCCGTCGGTAGCGGCAGCGCGGGACGACGGTTCAAAGGAGGGGGGGAAGAAGGGATTGGTTGCGGTGGCGCGGGGGGAGATGAAGGGGGAGGACTGCGGGTTGCCTGCGCTGGCGCGCGGGGAGGAGGGGCGGGAGGAGCGCGGGGACGAGGGGAAGAACGGGTTGAACGCGGAGGAGCGGGGGGAAGACGGGCGGGAGGCGCGGGGGGAGGAGGGGCGGGAGGCGGAGAAGGAGGAGAAGAAGGTGGAGTGGGGGGAGGAGGCGCGCGGGGAGCTGCAGACGCTGCGCGCCTTGCCCGGGGCAAATGGCCTGCGGGGAACTGGAAGAGGGGAGAGGAAGAAATGGGGAGAGGCGAGGGGAGGAGAGGGGAGAGGAGACGCGAGAGATGAGCGGAGAGAGACAGAGGAGGTGGCGGAGTGCGGAAGTGGGGGTTTTGGAGAGCGGGAGAGGGCAGCACGACAGCCTGCTTCACAACAGCGAGCAATGAAGATGAACGAGGCGAGGCGAGAGGAGAGTGGAAGCGAGAAGAGTGCAGGAGTTCGAGCAACGAGGCAAGGAAGCGAGAGCATCCCGAGGAAGGGAGGAAGGAGCGGAGGGTGCTTACAGGAGACGTCGCCCTGCAGCAGGGAGAGAGCGCGCTGAGCAATGGACGGCTTGGGAGTAGGCGCGGCCGTGTGCTGGCGCAGGCTCGTGAGCGAGTTGGACCGCGGCAGCTGCGCCAACCTGCGCGCCCCCCCGCTCCCTCCCGCCGCTGCTGCCGCCACTGCTGCTGATTGGTCTTGCCGGCCGCTCATGCTCATGCTCCCGGCGCTGCCCGCTGCGGCATGCTGGTACGAGAGGGGTCCGCTGCGGCTGATGCCGCTACCCATCAATGGCTGAGCCTGGTTCATGCCCGCATGTATTGCACTGCGTGCAGTGGGGTATGGCGACGCTCCTGCACCGCTCACACTTCTGCTGCTGCTGCCCTGGTATGGGTTAGAGCGAGCACAAGACGAGGTAATGCCTGCCGCCTTCACTTCCCTCTCCCTCTCCCTCACGCTATCCCTCGCGCCGACCTTCGCCTTCTCCCCGGCACCGCCCTTGGCAGCGCCGCCCTCGACCCTGTACCCGTCGCGGTCCTTGCTGCTACCGAAGAGGCGCATAAGGGGGATGTAGAGCGGGCGGTGGCCGTTGGGCGTGGCGTCACCCGCTGCTGCAATGGCAACGAATTGGCATGGGAGCAGTGAGGGGGTTAGGGGGGAGAGGTGCATAAGCGGGATGTAGAGCGGGCGGTGGCCGTTGGGCGTGGCGTCAGCCGCTGCTGACGCGCACATGAAAATTGAGGGAGATTGAGGGCACGAAGGGGGGAGTGGAGGAGAAAGTGAGAGGGGGTGTGAAGGAGGTGAGGAGAGGAAATGAGAAGCGAAAACTTGAGAATCAAGAACGGGTTGGTGAGAGGGACAGGAGCTGAGCGGCGGTGAGAGCGAAAGCGCTCGTGTACTCATCTGCTGCTCAACTCACCCGTCCGCCCGTGTACTCACCTGCTGCTCTGTTCCCCGCGCTCTTTCCATCCGCTGCGCCCACCGCCGCGCCCACTCCGCCCTTCCCGCGCTTCGCGAGCGCGAGGCGGCCCCCGCCGACAAAGAGCACCATGCAGGCGGGCGGAAGGCGCTGCTCCAGCGCGCGCGGGGAGAAGCGCCGACCCATGCTGGAGAAACCGCGGGGAGATGGCGGAAACGCACGAGCGCACGCATGGTAATTAACGCAGGGATCGGGGTAGGGCGGCAAATTGGATGGGGGGAAGAGGACATTGAGGGAGGATGAGGAGGTGGAAAGGGAATGGGAGAGAGCGGCCGGTAGTGGAGCGGCGAAGGGAGAAGCGGAGGGAGGCAGTGGTAGCGGTGATTGAGAGCAGCGACTAAAGTGAGCGGGAGTCGGCACCTACCTACACCCAACACTCCTCCCACCCGTGCGCCCCTTTCCTCCCCCGCCCTGCGCTAAACCGCCATGCGCTAAACCGCCCTGCGCTAAGCCGCCGTGCTCGTATTTCCTACCGCCCCCCTGCGCTCACCCGTCCTTGTGCACGACGACCCGCGTGGCCCCCAGCAGCCTCGCCTCGTCCGCCACCGCCTGCTCCTCGCACGCGCCGTGCACCACGCGCACCGACGCCGCCACCTGATTGGCGGAGGATGAGGGGAAAGGGGAGGGGGAGGGGAAGGGGAGGGGGAGGGGGAGGGGAGGGGGAGGGCGCAGAGGGGGGCATAGAATCGCCTGCTGCTCCCACGAGCCGTGCACTGATGACGATTGCTTTTTGCAGTGCAGTGTCAGCAAACGCTATAACGCGTACGCACCTTCTTCTCGTCGCAGAGAGCCTCGAAGCCCCACAGCAGCGCGGAGAAGATCTCCAGCTTCCGCCGCTGGTCCTCGCGCATCTCCTCCAACCGCGGCGGGCGCGCGCCTGTCGGATTGCGCCGCGGGGGAGGCGGAGAAAGGGGGAGAGCGGAAGCGGGGAAAGGAAATAGTGAGGGGCGGAAATGGAATGCGGAGAGACGGCTGGCAAGTGAGAAGTTTCCGCCCAAGTGAGGGCGGTGCGCGCAGATTGACCGGCCGTCGAGAACCTGTGCGGCATATTACACCTACAATCGACGACGCCGAATTCAAAAGCAAGCAAATAGTCATGAAGGAGACGCATTCAACGGTAGCAGGTGCGCGCAACACGCGGAACGGTCGAAAGGCACGAGCGCCTGCCAGAAGGTATAGCGCGTACCGTCGGTGGCCGGCACGATGACGTGGAGGACGTAGATGACGTCACCGGGCTGGCATCGGCTGATCGTCCATTGGATAAGACCTCTGCCTTCCTCCGATAGTGTTACCGCCACCACTATGTGGTCCGGCTGCCGCTCGATACAGTCACCCTGTAGCATCGTCCCTGGATGATGTCACAACACTGCAAGAAAATAATATAATCCCCTCACTAAGACCTTCGCCAGCGGCTAGCGTGCGTTTCGCCGTTGATTGTGGCAGAGCTTGCTGGAATGGCAAACGGGCAGCTTAGACTTGCGACTACTAAACTAGCCTCTTCATCGCGTCTCTCTATATCGCATCCTTATATTGCATCCTACGTCTGGTGCGTCAGCGAGGCCTCGGTTCAAACACTATTGCGATCGACACCACAGTGTCTGCTGGTTGGGTAATTGAGGTGTGCATGGGCAGTCGACGTGTCGGCTGCCGCAAAAACTATTGAGGCGTCTCGAAACTCGTCAGCTCGTCAGCGGGCCACGACGGCCAAGACCTGTGGGTACTGCGTGTAATTGTTCTGTCAGCGGTACTGGCTCGAAGCTAAGAATGGGGCGTGACAGGCAAAGTGAATGTTGCCGTCAACGCCAGTCTACATGTGCGCCTTCTACGCTGCCGGAAAGTGAAAAATGGATCTTCTATTAAAAAACCACAGGTGTGGTTCTTAGAGCAACTCGGTGGGAGTCACGGAACAGCTTTGTTGCTCTGGTTACTCGGACACTCGGGATAGCTACGGTCGGGAACAGGCGGTCTCGGAGGAGAGAGACGCCAGCATTGGGGGAGTGAAAGACGAGCGCTGTAGGCGGGGAATGGAGAGAGAGGAACGGAACGAGGGGAAATTGCACAGCAATACTAGCATCCCTTCCAAGGAGGCACCTGGGGCTAAGCAATTGCCACGAGAGGTCGTACAATACCTAAGATTCACTCGCGCCGTCACTGTGACTGCAGCTGTGTCGGTGACTGCAGTCGCCCTAGCGACACATTACATCCTCTGCGCTGCGCTAAGGCTTCGGGAGAGCGCTGAGAACAGCGGTAGATAAGAAACAGCAGGCTCGCAGATGGTTGACATGGCTGCAGCAAGCCAGACAGAATCTGTCGCGCATTAGCGTTCTCGCCATGGGATTGATGAATTTCATCGGCGGGCTTCCTAGAAACTCTCCTCCCCGCCTGCTCTATCGCCACTGCTGCTCCACTCTTCTCTTTTCTCTGCCTGAAATGTTCGCAGTTTCGGTGAGTGGGTGGAACACAAGGTAGTCTACTCTCTCGCCAATCTCGAATCTCGATTCCAGAAGTCCAATTTCAAGCCGATGCGCGTTTTGGACTGTTGCATTGGAGGCGCGAATCGTGCGCAGTGGGCTTTGAGCTTGTTGTAGGGGACCTTGGCCAATCAGCGAGGTTGGGCTGGGCGTCACACGCGTCGTCGTCGGGTCGAGCTCAAGTCTCCCGCCCTCTTCGCATACGGCGGGGATGTCAGTCAGCTGTGTCGCATGCTGATCGGATTGACCTGGGTCAGACAGCGCGGCGCCACCTGTCGGGCCGAGCTGGACTGGTTCAGATGAACATGGGTGTTCCGGCAATTCTGACAGGGCACACGCTGCACCGAGCAACAATGCGGGGCCCCTCTATGAACCGTTTCGATAGTGTCAGAGTAGCATACCAGTGGTACTCATTCAACCATTATTTGTATAATGAATGTGGATAATACAATTTAGGCCACAACATACACCACACCAGAGATAAATTCACATGTTTCCAATAAATATTTTATTTTTTTTGATACAGATACAAACAATTTCATCCTCTCAATCCAATGCGTATTGGTGTACTTGACCACTTAGATTGTATTGGTGTTTGCGTAAGATTTTTTATTCTGGGATTCTTGCAGCCGATGTAGTCACTTCAGCAAGAAGAGTCCCATATGGCGTATGAGCTTGACCACACATGTCCAGCCTGGTTCACATGACCTGTTGGCACTCTCACACACCTCATTCCCACGCGCGTCTATTTCAAAGCGATTAGACCAGACAGAGCAACGAAAGTTTCTTGCGACGACCAACCAGCATGGCTCCGCCGCGGCCCGACGACTCCAGGGTGAAGAAGCAGTTCGGTTTTCCGCTCTTCTGCGGCGCGTGGGCGCCCACGAAAGGCCCCAGGGCGGGCTCGCAGGGCGAGGAGGGGCTGGTGGTGCTGGCGGGGGGCGGCGGCGCGGGGCGGCACGGCATCAAGAGCAAGATCATCGCGTGCAAGTACAGCTTCGCGGCCGATGAGCTCTCGGAGGTGACGTGGCACTGCATGACACGTGGACGCTGCCGCAGATTTAATCCCATCGACCACTCTTTTCGACGCGCACCGTGCGCTAGCGTCGTGTGCTAGTGTGTGCGCTAGTTCCGTCCGACTCGCATCCGCCTTCCCGATCCCCCGCACATGGCGCCAGAGCGCGCCAGCGCCCCGCGCCGTTGCACTCACTCGCCCCGCGTTGCATCTCTGCCCCGCGTTGCATCTCTGCCCCGCGTTGCATCTCTGCCCCGCTGCGCCAGCGAATGCTTCGTTAGCGCCCACCCCGCGCTTCTCGCATCCTCTTCCCCATCCGCAGTCCCTTCATTGCTCGCCACGTGTCAGCTCACGAGGCACCTTGGAAGTGCTCGCCTCATTGTTCCCCTTGCCTCCCCTCCCCGATCATTGCACTGCCATGTACCGCCATGCACCTCCATGCACCGTACTCCACCCTCACGCATGGCAGGTGTTCAGCCTGTCAACGGGCGTCAACCCCGCGTTCAAAATCACCGCCCACCCCAACGGCGACGGGCTCATTGCTGCCTTCGCTGACGCCTGCCGGTGACCCCCCACCCTCTATCCACCTTTCCCCCCCCCCCCCCCGCTCTCCCCATTCCTCGCCCTTCTCTCCGCCTGCTCCCCCTTCTCTCCGCCTTCTCTTGGCCTTCTCTCCCCCTTTATCCGGCCCCTTGTTTTCTCCTGCTCTCCGCCTGCTCTCTACCTTCTTCCCCCCTCCTTCTCACAGTCCCGTGTGCCGCTAGCTCCCCTCGCGCATGCTACACCAACCTGTTGCAAGTGACGCATTCTTACTCTCCTTCGCCCATCACCGTGCCAACTAACCAACGCATCTCCCCCTCTCCCCTCCTCCCTCTTCCCTCCTCCCTTCTCCCCTCCTCCCCACTCCAATCCCCCTCTCCCCCCCGCCCCCCTCTCTTTTCCTCTCCCCACTACTTGTTCCATCTGTCCCCCCTCCCTCGCCCCGCCCGCTAGCCCAGTCTCTTCCAAGTGACGCCAGGGGAGGGCGAGGGTGGCACAGCGGGCAAGGCAGAGGAAGCGGAGGGGAAGGAGGGAGGCGCAGGGGCGGAGAGGGGAGAGGAGGTGGTTGCGGCGAGAAGGGTGAGTGAAGAGGCTGTGCCTCTGGAGCAGCTGCAGCTGGTGCCGAGCGATGTGCGCCTCAAATGGCTGGGACCAGGGGAGGAGGAGGAGATGGGGGAGGAAAAAGGGGAGGGAGTTGGGGGAGAAGGGAAAGGGGCGGGCGAGGGAGGCAACGGGAATGGGGGAAAGGAGGAGGAAAAGGGGAAAGGGGAGGAAGGGGAGACGGCAGCGGAGGTGAAGTGTTTGCTGTTCAGTGCGGATGGGTGCAGAGTGGTGGCGGGGAGTGAGGATGGGCGTGTGCGGGTGTTTGAGTGGCCTAGCATGGACGTTCTGATGGACGTGCCTCGAGCCCACACCTCCTCCCTCAGAGATGCCGATATCAAGTAGGTTCCATGCTGAAGGGATAGAAAGTGCGCCTGCATGTGTGAGGTGAGGTGCTGTGGGCGGACATGCTGGATGGCCTAGCATGGAAGTTGCCATGTCCACCCTGAGAGATGTGCATGTCCACCCTGAGAGATGTCCATGTCAAATACGTCCCCTTGCAACCCATATCATGGGTCTCTCAACCCACACCCAGCACTGTGCTGTACAGTGCTGTGCAGCCCATATCATGGGTGCTGTGCAGCCCATATCATGGGTGGTGTGCAGCCCATATCATGGGTGGTGTGCAGCCCATATCATGGGTGGTGTGCAGCCCATATCATGGGTGGTGTGCAGCCCATATCATGGGTGGTGTGCAGCCCATATCATGGGTGGTGTGCAGCCCATATCATGGGTGGTGTGCAGCCCATATCATGGGTGGTGTGCAACCCATATCATGGGTGGTGTGCAGCCCATATCATGGGTGGTGTGCAGCCCATATCATGGGTGGTGTGCAACCCATATCATGGGTGCTGTGCAGCCCATATCATGGGTGCTGTGCAGCCTATACCTTTCCCCCGCTCCCCATCCCCCCCTCTTCCCCCCAACACCCCCCACGCCCCTCTCTTCCCTGCACCTGCCAGTCTGGACAGCTCATTAGTGGCCACCACGGCAGACGCGGGCCCTCTGAGGGTGTGGAGCGTGCGCAAGGGGACAGCACTTGCCACCCTCTCCATTGCTGAGGTCAGCGCTCTCCATTGCTGAGGTCAGCACTCTCCATTGCTGAGGTCAGCACTCTCCATTGCTGAGGTCAGCACTCTATTGCTGATGTCAGCTCCCTATTTTCTGGGGTCGGCACCCCCGGTCTCCCGTGTGCTTGGTCAGCCGCCCACACCACACCACACCGCACCACACCACACCACTGCTTGCACACTATTGTGCTTGCCCTGCAAACAGGCTGAATCAGCTGCTACCCCAGGGCAGAGCATTTGACACAATGTGTAGCGCACCTGTCCTGTCGTGCTGCTCCCTTGGTGTAGCGCACCTGTCCTGTCATGCTGCTCCCTTGGTGTAGCGCACCTGTCCTGTCGTGCTGTTCCCTTGGTGTAGCGCACCTGTCCTGTCGTGCTGCTCCCTTGGTGTAGCGCACCTGTCCTGTCGTGCTGCTCCCTTGGTGTAGCGCACCTGTCCTGTCGTGCTGCTCCCTTGGTGTAGCGCACCTGTCCTGTCGTGCTGCTCCCTTGGTGTAGCGCACCTGTCCTGTCGTGCTGCTCCCTTGGTGTAGCGCACCTGTCCTGTCGTGCTGCTCCCTTGGTGTAGCGCACCTGTCCTGTTGTGCTGCTCCCTTGGAGTTCTCCTCCCCCTTCCACCACCCCTCACATACCCCTCTTTCTCCCTCCCCACGCCCCTCAGGGCGGGGCGCGCTTTGGGCTGTGCCGCTTCTCCCGCGACCCCAGCAAGCCGGTGCTCTACTCCACCTGCGTTAAGAGTGAGAGAGAGGGGGGAACGAGTGAAGGGTGAGGAAAGAGTGGAGGCTGAAGGGGTGGGTGAGAGGGACCCCAGCAAGCCGCTGCTCTACTCCACTTGCGTTAAGGGTGAGAGAGAGGGGGAAAGGCTGAGAGGGACGGAAGGGTGAGGTGAGGGTAAGAGGAGCGGATTTTGTTGTTTGTAGCTCTCGACTGTGGTTTTTGAGTGGCTTGAAAGCTGATCGTGGTTTTCTTTTCTCACTTGGCCAATGTGTGAGTAACTCTGGCGTCCATTTTGCCTCGTTCAGTAACTCTTCTCACTTGTCCCATCATCCCACCAAACCACTTTTTTCCCCTGCTCCCTTTTTCTCCCCCTATTGCAGGTGGCAAGGGGTGGGTGGTGGTGTGGGAGACGGCAGCATGGAAGCGGGTGGCAGTGAGGAAGATTCACAACGACCCCATCTCCGCCTTTGCTATCAGCCCCGACTCCTCTCTGCTTGCCACGTAGGCTGCTTGCCACGTAGGCTGCTTGCCACGTAGGCTGCTTGCCACATAGGCTGCTTAACACGTAGGCTGCTTGTCATGTAGGCTGCTTGTCACGTAGGCTGCTTGCCACGTAGGCTGCTTAACACGTAGGCTGCTTGCCACGTAGGCTGCTTGCCACGTAGGCTGCTTGTCACGTAGGCTGCTTGTGTGGGGTGTGCTGTGTATGTGCTGTCTGTGCGTGCCTGCCTATCCACAGGGGCACACCAGAGGGCAACGTGTTCATAGTGGATGCGCGCACGCTGAGTGTGAGGCAGAGAGTGGTGGGGGCGCACCTGGTCTTTGTCACGGCGCTCGACTTCTCGCCCAACTCCAGGTGCGCTGAATGAGGCGAGTGCACTGCAATCGAGGGGCCTCAAGAATTAGCGCCTGGACACGTGGCCGTGGAGGCAAGGCGAGCAATGAGGGGACTGTGTACGGGGGGGTGGGTGGGGGGGGAGGGTGTGGCTCATCTGGTCTTTGTCACCACACTCGACTTCTCACCCAACTCCAGGTGCGTTGGGGATGGAGGCGACTTTTGAGGGCCTCAACAGTTCACAAAACCAAACTGAGAGTCACAGCATTACGGTTGAGGCATTCAAGGGCACATTGCGAGTAGGAGCCAACACATTGTGCCACATCTGACAGAGGTTTATGTCACACCACTCGCCCTCCTCCTCTGTCAGTCTCGGGTGACTCCAGTGCGTCTGTTACGGCTGTGGTAGCCAAGCCCGCCTCATGCCCCGGCACCCCACGCCCCCACACCACCCCCCCCTCCCCCCTCCCCTCTTCAGGGCGCTGCTGTAAGTGTCGGGTGACTGCAGTGCGCATGTCACGGCCGTCTGTGCCAACCCCACCCCATGCCCCAACACCCCATGCCCCAGCACCCCACGTCCCCACGTCCCCACACTCCCCCCCCCCCCAACCTCCTCCCCTCAGGGCGCTGCTGTCAGTGTCGGGTGACTCCAGTGCGCGAGTCACGGCTGTCGCTGCCAAGCCCACCCCATGCCCACACCTCACGCCCCCACGTCCCCACACCCCTCACCTCCTCCTCTCCCCCTCTCTTCCCTCTCAGGGCGCTGCTGTCAGTGTCAGGTGACTCCAGTGCGCGAGTCACCGCTGTCGCTGCCAAGCCCGCCGGCCAAGGTCGGTGCTGGGTCTCCATTGGGGTGATGTGCGGTGGGGTGATGGGTGGTGGGTTGATGTGCGGTGGGGTGATGGGTGGTGGGTTGATGTGCGGTGGGATGATGTGCAGTGGGGTGATGTGCGGTGCGGTGATGTGCGGTGGCCCGGTGGGGTGATGGGCTCTCCGTTGGGGTGCTTGCATTCATGCACGTCTGCCCTCTCCCTCCACCCTTTCGCGCTCACCGCATCTCCCTCCAAGCCAAACCTTGGTGCAACTTTCACAAGAATCTTTGGGACCTGTCAGTAATTCTCAGTCAAACTTCTTGGCAGGGATCAATGATAATATTGGCCAAAGTCCCTGCAACCCTTATTTTCCCTCACTGCTACATCTATTCTTCGCTTTTTTTTTCCCTGCATCTATTTACGGGGACCCTCTTTTCAACCCCCTTGTCCCCGTCCCTACATGCCCTCTTTCCATCAACCCCTCTCTACCTCCCACCAGCCTGGGTAGCACTTCTCATTCTCACAGCCCTCGTCCTCCTCGCCGTCGCTCACCTCCTCTCCGCCTCAGACCTTCTTCTCACCTGTTTCCATGTGTCTGCTCTTCACGACCCCCCCCCCCCCCCCCCCCCCCCTCTCTCCACACGCGCCCCTCCCCTCCCCACCAGGTTGGGTAACGTTCCTCATTCTCACGGCCCTTGTCCTGCTCGCCGTCGCTCTCCTCCTCTCTGCCACTGACCTCCTGCTCCTCCTCCTCGGTCCAGACCTTGCCGCCCAAGTGCAACTGTTCATCGACCGCCTAGTCGGGCCAATCCTTGCCGCCCAGCTGCAAGCCATCGCCAGCCGGTTCCTGGGTCCGGACGTTGCCGCCCACCTGCGAGCGCTCTTGCTGCGCCTTCACGGGCTATTGCTCCCACAGCGAGGGGAGTGAGGGGAGTGGGGAGGGTGATGGGAGCGAGAGGAGTTTTGAGGCGCCTCAAAACCCACCTGCGAGCGCGCTTTCTCCGCCTCCAAGGGCTCTTGGCGGCACAGCGACGGGAGTGATGAATTTGATGGGAGTGAGAGGCGAGGGGGCGGAGTGAGAGGCGAGGGGGAGGAGAGAGAGGCGAGGGGGCGGAGTGAGAGGCGAGTGGGAGGAGTGAGAGGCGAGGGGGAGGAGTGAGAGGCGGACACTTGCAGGGTTTCTGAGTTGATGCAAAGAAGGGTGCCGATAAGCAAAGGACGCTGAGAAAGTAGGATGTCGAGAGTGGTGCGAGCAATTTGGGTGCAGGCGAGGGGGGTGCAGGCGAGAGGGGTGCGGGGGCATGTATGCCACAGATGCCAAATCCCCCTTGCATCCCATCCCATAGGTTGGTGGTAATGTGGTGCGATCAGTTCTACTTACCGTAAGCCCCCGGATAGAAGGGCAGGCCTATGATAAGCGCCGGCGCTTATAAAAGGCTTATGGCGCTTATATCCGGTCCTCGATTATAATCCCACCCCTAACAGCTTACGGATTATAAGCGCCACCCTCTGTAATAGTTTTTATAATTTTACTGGAAACGCTGTAACGAAACACAATTTTGCATCCCCACATTCAGAATTTCAAATCCCTTCACCCTCGCGCGACTCAATGCCTTCGCGTCCAGTCAGAATGAGCTGTCATGGGGTCAATCTGACTCATTCTGACTGTGTGTGTTGGCAGGGAATCAGCCACTGCCAATTTACGCAAAATTCACATTCATTGCCCTCCACAATATCGATTCGATTCAATGCTCACAAGCAAGGTGCTGCAAGCCCGGGCATTGTGAGAGCCCGAGGGATGGCATAAAGCCTCACAAAGAACAGTGTAGGGCTTCCTCACGAGCCAACACATTGCAGGCAAATGCAACCTCACAACTAAGACAAGGCTACTGTATTACCCCGCTTTAAGCCCTTCTCAGCACAGTCCTTCCCCACAGTGCTGAAGAACCTGTGAGCAGCCCCAAGCAGCGCGACACGATATGCGGCCTTGCGCTTGGGCTTGACAAGCACTGCAAGGACGGACTTGGTATTGCAGGCAAGAAACGCTGTGTCGTCTTTAGCGAGGGCGACATCGTGCTTGGGCCCAAAGAGGGTTGTGATGGAACCGCAGCCCCACTTGAAGACTGCAGACGGGTGGGGAGGCAAGTGATGAGATACGGGCGGCAGACATTATGTGCCAAGAAAACGAAGCAGAGAATCACAGATTTGGTGCTCTTTTGCATGCTGCAAAGCAGGGTGCTGTTTCTTTGTTGTGAAAGCATGGTGGTGGTGAATGGCCTCTTACTTGAAGCAAATAGTGAACTTCTTTAAGAGACTCAATGCTGAATGAAAGCAGGGGAGATAGGGGTCATTAAAGGGCAACGTTGACTGAATAATCATTGCTTGTCTAGCTGTAAACGCATCCGTAACATTGTAACACGAACCTAAGACATCATTGGATGCTATAGTTGGTTTAGTCCAAGACTTGATGCCAGGCCAGCCCTTCTTGCCGCCAACCACTATCGTTGCGGCATGCTGCATGGAACGAGGGGAACGAGAAAGGGTGGCACTAAGACGTCTGAACCTTTCACTCCAACCCTTCCCGGAAGGGTCTTGCTGCCTGTCGTGATGCAAGTCCGGCTGAACCTCTCTCTCATTGAAGCCTCCCATCCCCTTTCTCCCCTCCACCCTTCTTCCTCTCACTTTACTGTCCCTTCCCTCCAGTTGGTGAACTACCCTGACCCTTGTTCCTCCTGACATATGTAATGAGCTTGCTCTCCTTCCCTTCGCGTGTATCAGGCGACCCTGAACAAGTCTTAACTTCCTCGCAAGGGCTCAGTCAGATTGCTCCTGCTTCTCCCTACTGCTAGTTTCCTTTGGCTTAGGAAAACAAGATTCCAGTAAGAAGAGAAACATACAAGCAAAAAGCGAGAAACCTGAGTGCTACCCCCGACTACAACCCCTCCTCCTCCTGCCTAGGTTCCTTCCTCCGCACGCTAGCTCTAGTGCCTAACGCGAGTCAGCCGAGCTGCTCGTGAAGGCTCCAAGGTGCTAGCTAGGTCCCACTGGGCCCACTAGGCATGCACTGCATTCCAGCTGGAATCGAGTTCCTAGCCTGGAATCGCATTCCCAGCTGGAATTGCATTCCCAACCTGGAATCGAATTCCCAGCTGGAATCGAATTCCCTCTTCCGCACCAACCTCCTCGAATTTCCCTGCACTCGGCTTTGTAAAGCGTATGTACAGTTCATACAAGACCAGAAATGCACAATTACCTGGCTGCTGTGTAATTCACACCTTAGCCGTCAGCTAGGTGTTCATAGCGTGACAGCTGTCGTGATGCAAGTCCGGCTGAACCTCTCTCTCATTGAAGCCTCCCATCCCCTTTCTCCCCTCCACCCCTCTTCCTCTCACTTTACTGTCCCTTCCCTCCAGCAGGTGAATTACCCTGACCCTTGTTCCTCCTGACATATGTAATGAGCTTGCTCTCCTTCCCTCCGCGTGTATCAGGCGACCCTGCCCCCTCCCGTGCCTGAGCAGCAGCTCCAGCCGCTCGGGTCACGGGATCCTTAGCCTGAATCTGCACTCCTTTCGCTCTAGCCACATTCGTCACATGCTCCTTGATATTTTTTCCTTGCTGATCCTCCAACACCAGGACTCCCAACCCTCGCACTTCCTTCACCTTCCACCGTTCTGGACCCACGACTAGGTCCAGCGTGTCCCTCTTCGCCTTCCTCAGGTATACCTCCCATCCTGCTGCTATGGCCTCTCTTTGCTTTCCGTTACCCTCTTTCTTGCGCTGCTGATATCGACGTGCATCCCTCAGCTGTGCTACGTGTAAATTGTCCAAGGCTGCTGGTGTCAGCTCCCTCAGGTACCGTGCCCTCTTCTGTGCCACTTCGGCCCATAAACCCGGCTCGTCCACATCCCCGGTAACCGACAACAGCTTCGGTGCATCCACAGGTAAGACTGGGTATCAACTGTACAGCAGATGATAGGGTGACAGATTCTTTAGGGCAGACAGCTTAGCAGACCTGTATCCCTCCAGAATCCCAGGGAGCTCCTTGTCCCAATTCCTCTTTTTATTCTCCCTGTATGCCCTCAGCCCCTTCTTCAAGGTCTGTATCATTCGTTCGGTCAACCCATCCGACTGCGGGTGGTACCTTGAAGTCACCCGATGAGTAATCCGGTTTCTCTTTCAGCATCTCCTCAAAGCTACCTTGAAATTCAGTCCCCTGGTCAGTCAGCACCTCCCCGCAAGCTCCGTACCTGGTGAGCACCTCTTGCACAAATGCCTCTGCAATCAAGCCGCTATTCTTGCTGGACAAGGCCCTGGCCTCCACCCACTTGCTGGTATGCTCTATCATGACCAGGATATACTGCTTTCCTTTGGTGGACAGAGGTAGCTCTCCTGCCAAATCCAACGACCATCGGTACCCCAAACCTCGGATCGGTAGAGACTGCAGCTCATCTCTTTCTCTCTCCAATGCAGCCTTGTTTTGCTGGCAGGCTTCGCAAGCTGCCACCATCGTGGCCACGTCTTTCCTCATGCTCGCCCACCAGTACATAGTGCTCAGCAGCTGCCGAGTCCTGGATATACCGTAATGCCCCAGCTTCCCATGAACCCTTAGCATGATCCTCTCCCTGTCTTGAGGCTGTGGTACGACTCGCCATCCTTCACTAGTGCGCAGTTGTAACTGATTCTGAAACCATCAGGTAATGCTGCCCCCTGGCCCTGGCTCGTTCGCTTACTCCCGAGTCATCTAACGGCTCCCCTTTTATCCACCCCATGGTCTCCTGATCCTCCCAGACGTCCACCTGCCGCTGCTCTCCCTTCACTTGCCCCCAGGTCACCTCTGCCACCTGTGCTAACACTATCAGCTGTGCAACTGGGTGCATCGGAGGTGGGTTCATGGATAACCCATCCGCATGTTGCAGTGTCGTACCCGGTCGGTGACGGATATCGAAATCGAATCCCAACCATTTGATTGCCCACCTGGCGTTCCTGCCCGTCAGTTCTTGGTTTTTCATCAACCATCG